TCCCCCCACACCTCACCCGCCTGTGCATGAATTTTATGCACTGGGCCTCTAGTTCAACAATAAAAAGAAATGAAGTACTGGTATATGCTATATATGGATGGACCTAAAAAATAAGCTAAATGTTTTAAAAAGCAAGGCATAAGAGATCACATATTGTATGATTCTGTTTACATAAAACATCTAAAAAGGCAAATCTATTAAGACAGTTTGGTGCCTGGGACAGGAGATGGGAACAGAGATTAAGAGTAAATAGGCATGATCTAATTGAGGTGATGAAAATGTTCCTTCCAAAACTGTTTTAATGGTTGCATAACTTGGTAAATTTGCTAAAAATCACTAAATTATATACTTGAAATGGTGCATTATGTGATGTGTAAAATACACCTTATCTTATCAAATGCAATACTGTAGGGTATCAAAAGGAAGACCAGGAAGGTCTTTTTGGGGGATTACAAGAATTGAGGTTCAGGAAGTGCAGTAATTATTAATTGCATTAATAACATAAAGGAGAAAAAGCCATATGATCATATCAATAGATGTGTAAAGGGTGTTTGAGGAAAATTTTAGCAATCATTCTTAATATTAAAACTTTAAAGTAGAAAGGTAGAGAGAAAACAACCTAGATATAATAAAGGTGAGTTACTAAATGCTATAGCAACTATTATCCTAAATAGTGAGATACTAAAGCAATATGAGTTCAAACCAGAAACAAAAATACTCTATATTGCTCAATGTCATTATTCATCATAGAAATGCAAATTAAAACCACAGTGTGCTATCACCTTACACCTGTCAGAATGGCTATCATCAATAATTCAGCAAACAAGTGTTGGCCAGGATGTGGTGAAAAGGGAACCCTCCTGCACTGTTGGTGGGAATGCAGATTGGTGCAGCCACTGTGGAAAGCATATGGAGTTACCTCAAAACATTAAAAATGAAACAGACTTTTATGAAGAAACCCAAAACACTGATTTGAAAGAATATATGTGCCCCTGTGTTCACTGCAGGGGCATTATTTACAATAGCCAAGATTTGGAAGCAGCTCAAGTGTCTATCGGTAGATGAGTGGATAAAAAAGCTATGTACATTTACACAATTAAACAGTACTTGGCTGTAAAAGAAAAAAAAATGAAGGAAATTGCCTGGCTGGTAGTTCAGTTGGTTGAGTGTCATTCTGTACACCAAAAGGTGGTGGGTTCAATTCCCAATCAGGGCACAAACTCAGGTTGCAGTTCAATCCCTGGTATGTATGGGAGGCAACCATTCGATATTTCTCTCTTCCTTCATCTCTCTAAAAATCAATAAAAACATATCATAGATTGAGGATTAGAAGAAAAGGAGGAAATCTTACCCTTTGCAACAGCATTATGCTAAGTGAAATAAGCCAGTCAGAGAAAGACAAGTACCATATGATTTCACTCAAATGTGGAATCTAATGAACAAAATGAACTAAGCAAAATAGAGATAACTCAAAAATAAAAAGCAGGCTGACACCTGTGAAGGAGAGAGGGCTGGTGGGGGATGGAGGGATTGAGCAAAAGAAAAAAATTCATGGATACAGACAACAGTGTGGTGATTGCCAGGGGAAGGGAAATGGGAGGAAATTAATAAATAAACTTAATGCAGTTCCTATTAGAATTCCAACAGGGTCAGGATGGTGGAGGGGGACTAGATAAATTTCTCTCAAGTTTATATGGGAAGTAAAGACTCAAAAATAGCCAAGAAAACTGTGAAATGAACAGTGAGGGTCAATTTATATCAAGTAATCAATGGGCTATAAAAACACTAAAAATATACGGTATTAGAATGGAAATAGATAGATCAATGGAACAGAATAAAGAATCAAAAAATAAATCACATATCCTGAGACTATTTATGAGAATGTAACATACAACCAAGGTTCAATTCAGTTGGAAATGACAGAGGTTATTTAATAAATGGTGGTCATACAGAACTGACTAGCCACCTGGAAGAAAATAAAAGTATTTTTCAACTCATACTCTGTTTAGAAATTCACTTTTTAAAAGGAAGGGTGTATGCATTTACATAAAACTACGTAAGTAAAAAAGTAGAATTCAGTGACTCACAAAAGATTTTAATTATTTTAGAACCAGCTAGAGTTCTTTGCCCCTTAAGAAATTGTTAAGTTTGTTTTTGCTTTTGTTTGAAGATTATTTTGAGAGGACAGATAAATGCAGTTTAATTAGTTAACTTATAATTATTCCTCTTCAGTTAAAATCATTTATAATTAAGGAAGTAAAATTACTTTAGAAAATCTGGAAAATACGTGAAAAAAAATACTATTAAAAAAGCACCAGTTTCCCTACTACCCAGAGATAAACACTATTAAGATTTGAGAGCAAACCAAGTATCCCTCACAGTTTTTTTATTTTCAATGAAATTTAAAATGTGAATCTTGTAAATGTTGCATTTTTTACTTAAAAATAGGTGTCCAGACTTGGATTTTTTAAAAGTGAGATCCTTTCCATTTGTGAACTATATAGTTTATTCTTTTACCCTTCCTATTTTCTTGGTCATTCAATTTACATGTAACTTTTTTTTCTAGTTCCTGGCAGACATGGAAAATAATGCACTTTTTCGAGATGATATAGAATGTCAGAAACTAATTATGGAAGCAATGAAGTATCATTTATTACCAGAGAGACGACCCATGTTACAAAGTCCTCGGACAAAACCTAGGAAGTCAACTGTTGGTACATTATTTGCTGTTGGAGGAATGGATTCAACAAAAGGTATTAAACAATCTTTTATTTGTGGAAAAATGAATTTTAATTAGTACTAAATATGGCCAAGGAGCTCTTTGGGAAAATGGCTTGCTCTAACATTGGGGTAGAAAAAGTACAAGATAAAACTAGAACATCTTGTAGAACCAGAAAGTAAGAAGTGCCCAAAGAATGATGGAGACAGATTAAGGAACAGTTTGTAGGGGCTACCACTGTCCAATCTAGGATAATTTCAGCATCAAAAATATATAATGTAGTTAAAAGATTACAACCTATTAAATCAATAAGTGTTCATGACTACACTGATTCAAATAAAGATGGGTGAAGGGAAGCTCCTCCTTGTAAGAGAATGCCAACTAATGAATGTGGAAGCAAAGATGGGATTCGAAAAATTAGTTATTATGGTAACCACCATAATAACTAATTCAGTCAAAAGTCATCAGTGGGGGGAGAACCGAAGATGGCGGCATAGGTTAACACCAGAGATTGCTGCCTGGAACAACTAAGTCAAATTAAGCTTGATCCAGGGAAAGGACAACGTCCAGAGCCACAGGAGGGCTGGCTGAGTGGAAATTCTACAACTAGGAGTAAATAATAACTAATTCAGTCAAAAGTCATCAGTGGATGCTGAGACTAGTAGGTGAAAGTTTGAGAACAGGATATTTAGTCTCAAAGGATCTCCCAACCACTTTCTTATTACACAGATGTAATAGAACAATAAAGAGAACCCAACCATGAAAAATAAATAAATAAATAAATAAATAAATATATTTTATTGATTTTCTACAGAGAAGAAGGGAGAGGGATAGAGAGTTAAAACATTGACCAGCTGCCTCCTGCACACCTCCCAGTGGGGATGTGCCCGCAACCAAGGTACATGCCCTTGACCGGAATCGAACCTGGGACCCTTGAGTCCGCAGGCTGACGCTCTATCCACTGAGCCAAACCGGTTTGGCCATTGCTCTCTTTCTAATTCCTGTTAGCCTCCTGTCAGCCCACATATATTGACCATGTTAATTTATGTTGTTCGTGTGTGCCAGGCATTTATTCTAAGCACTTGACCTATATCATTTTATCTTCATAGTAACTTTCAGAGCTGAATGTTATTATACCTTCTGTAGATGAGGATATGGAGAGAGAACTTAAGTAACTTTCCAGGATCACAAAACTAATTAGTGATGGAGTGAGGATTCAAACAGTACTCTCTGCTTCATTAACTCTTCTGTTAACATGCCATTATCCTGCTCAAAAGCTCCAGCAATTTTCATTTCTTACCACATAAAGTGTAAATTTCTCCTTCTAGAGTTCAAGGCTTTCTGTAATCCGGCCCTTGTGGCTTGACCAACATTATTTCTGAGTTTTTCTTAATAATACTCTGACCTTCCATCCTATTCAAGCTATCTTCCTGCTCCTTACCTTATTCTTTATAAAGAAAAGCTGTTTACATTAGTTGAATAGTAGTCTGCTCATGGGGTTCTTGATCCATCATGTGTCTGTTTAGTTTAGAGCCAACACATAAACTGGGAATGGTTCTAAATAGCCACTAAGAAAATGTTATATTTGTGCCTACTATTTTTAAACGTTAATTATTCGGTATAAATTAGCGAAGTTCTAAACCTTTATATAGAATTTTGCAGTTGTTAGGATCTTCTTATGCTTTGAGATATATAAGATATATGTTTCAGATAGTGTTTTAAGACTTTATGTAAGATTATGTTTGACATTAGCAAAAGAATTTTCTTTAGCAATTGATAAGACTACTAGAGGCCCAGTGCACAAAAATTTGTGCACTCAGGGGGGTCCCTCAGCCCAGCCTGTGCCCTCTTGCAGTCTGGGACCTCTCAGGGGATGTCCACCTGCCGGATTAGGCCTGCTTCCCAGGGGATTGGGCCTAAACTGGCTGTCAGACATCCCTCTGGCAGCCCAGGAGCCCTCAGGGGATGTCCACTTGCCAGCAGGGAGCAGGCCTAAGCTGCAGTCGAACATCCTTAGCGCTGCTGAGGAGGCAGGAAAGACTCCTACCACCACTGCTGTATTGGCAGCTGTCAGCCTGGCTTGTGGCTGAGCAGAGCTCCCCCCTGTGGGAGCTCACCGACCACC